TAAAATATATCAAGTTTAAAGCAAAGGTTCATATTTCCAGGCCGCTGATTCTCCCCAAGCACATCAAATATTTAGCCCTCACTCTTATTTCACTACTATCTGGAACACATCTCGGAATATATCCTGTTAGCATTAATGTTGCACACATAAGAATCATTTGTGTCATAATCAAAATTTACTCAAACCCTCATATCTTGCATAAAACTTCTCTTAACATTGTAAAAGAATCTCAACATGTCAAAGAAAATCAGCACTCTGATAAAGTCATTAATGAAACAAGAGCTTGAGAAGTAGAGAAGTGATATGTCACTAGAATTACTCTTAAAGGATACCTAGATTCAGCACATGTTGCATCAGCTTTTGATGGTGTGATACTGGTGCACGAATCACAAATTTGGTCAACCTTTCCAGGTGATATCGCAAGAAACGAACCTAGAAATTGAAGCCATGTTTTAACATGGTTGCATTGAAACGTGTTAAGGTTAAAGCTAATAAAAACAAGCTCACGTGTGCAGTTCCGACAAACAATAGATTCCTTCACTGGCAATGGACCAATAAAGTTCTTAATCATTTCTTCTAATGTCTTTAAAGAAGCTTTCCTGCATTCCTTTACCACATCAAGGAGGCTTTTCCCATTCTCTAAGCAAATATACTGCGATGCACGTCTGTATGATTTACAAGCATGTATCTCGAATTTGAAAGGCGGAATTACCTAAATATTTGGACATGAAAGAATGTTGGAATCATATATTAAATGAATGAAACATCAAAACTGATTAGTAGCTAATCACTGACAGTTGACCAAAGAGAAATAAAAAGATTGTGAACTCACTCTGGAACCCTTGCACAAACTGCAGGAACACAAAATTCCAGATTCTTTTATGGTTCCCCGTAGTTGAAATCCCTATAAAGAAGATAGTATATGGTGAGACTTAAGCATAAGACGGATAAAGATAAATTAGTGATCAGATTCACCGAATTGGGTTCGGAGCGGGGATTCGATCATCAGTCACATTTTCGTTAATCAATAGCTAGCATAATAATATACTATAGGTGTAATGTTCAATTTACAACACATCTAGAATGTACTTCTTGGGATCAAAATATCCTCTTTCTTGCCAACTCCCCTCTCTCCCCACAGGCACATACAAATACACGTTACACTGTTTGCAATTACCTTTATGAAATCCTATCATCCAATAATAGTGATGTGACAATAAAAAGGCATACATCCATACAACACCTCTAGACGTGATGTAAAATATATAGAATAAAAATGCATACATCCATACAACACATCTAGACATGCCTTAAAAAACATGAGTTATGCTACATATACAAAGTTGGGTTACAAAGTTGGTTGACAAAATAACATCTACACCAACTATTTTAAAAATAGATTTTTAAATCACTTGAAATCAACTGTCTGCATTTTGCCAACACACTTTGTAACCCAATTTTTGTAACTCAACTTTGTACAAATAGCTTTATTGAAAAAACATATCTACTAAGGAATAAATGAGCACGATATAGTCACTTAAGTACCCTCTTGCCACCATTGTACAGAACTGGATACCCTTCCAGCAACCGCGTCTCAAAAAGCTCCCTGACTGTTGTCGGCAGGGCTTTTATCAGGACTTTCTTTGACGTCTTCATTTCTGTTGTCCACGTTGGAGTCCCTAGTGCGCTCACATCCCCATTCTCCAACCTCCCGGCTTCCAAAACCACTGTATCCCTTAATTCTCCCGAACCTCCATTTTCAATTACCGAATTATCAGATTTAATTTTCACTGCCGATCGCGTAAACCTTCTTGAAGCATCACTTTTCACAAACACCAAAGAGGGATCACCTTTCACTTCGATTTCAGTCATTTTGTTGTCACCCCCTTTAACCCCAGAAAGTCCTAAAACGCCCTCAAGTCTACCGGCATAAACCGCCTCTCCACCATCCAAACTGCCCTCCTTCTGGCCCGGAACCAGAACTCCATCACTGAAGTTTTCAGCTTCACCAGCTTTTGACCGAGTTCCCAAACAGCTCTGGAGTTCATCAGAAGCCCCAATGCTTCCAACATTCTCACTTCCATCAGTCTTCAACCTCTTAATCCTCCTATAAACAACAAATCCCTTGGGCTCACAAGGCCTAAACCTAGGCACATAGCAACTATCCATTACATCCGACCCATTAGATTCTGGCCGGGCTTCATTCAGCAATTGAGAATCCGTATCTTCGGATTTGATATCCGGTCCGGATTCTTCTAATTGTGTCGGGAACTCCTTTCCGAAACCCAATTCGGGCTTCATTGCCACCGCTCCTTTCCGAATAGTTTTTTTTAATTTGTTTTACTGTTTCTGTTACGTGGGTACGGAACACAGGAATAGATTTATATACCTGTGAAGCACGGGTAAAGAGTTGAGGTGGGGGAGAAACTCTGGACCTCCATCGAGAGAGATGGATGTGATGTAAATTTTGTTCCAAAATCTTTCAATGAATATTACTTTTTTTAATAGAGAAAATTCATCAACTTACCACGGTTTTTTAAAAAACGGCTCGAAACATCCCTTTGAGCCGGGTCGGAAGTCGTCCTTTTTTTTTTTCCTTTTAAATGCCTAAAAACGTTAGAAATTAAAAGGTTGAAAGTTGAAACCCTCTTGGAACCGGTTACCATTAGATATAAGTAAAATAAATTGTAAAAATGGAATAATAGTTTTCATATACAATTTAAATAAAAATCCATTGAAATTAGACACCCGAACTTTCAAAAATAGATAATGAGATTGACTCTCCTATGGAGAGTCAAATCTACTCTCAATTTATATTTTATCGAGATTGTATTTAAATAAAATTGAACATTGCAATATTTCAATACTTGAATAAATTGTTTATATTGGAGCATTTTTAAGAGATTCTATTTATAAAGAGTAAAAATATTGGCATACAAATTTGACTAATCATTTTATATTTTTCAATAAAAATTTATTGATTTCGCATCATATTTTTTATTTTGTTGTTGAACAGACAATTTAAGTGCTTGTTTGTCTCCCATTTTGGGAGAAGTAATAGAGTTTTGAATAGTATTTTTTGAAAAATGTGTAGTTGAAAAGTAAATTAATTTTATTAGTTTATTTATAGAATATTTTATTAGGTGAATATGTGATAGAAATTGTTTAATTTAGCAAACAATATTAATGGATGACAAGCATGGGCTAAACATGCTTGCAATAAGGGAAAATTTCATAACTAAGAGGTTTAGTTTTACCAGTTTCCAATTTAAGAGATAATGTTTAAAATTTCAAATTTCAAATTTTTTAAGGTTTAAAATTCCAAATCTCATATTTTTTTAAAATTTATATATAAATTAATTAATCAAACATATATTTTATTAATTAAATATATTAATGTCACAATTCTATATAATTTGGTCATAAATTCTATATAATTGGTCACATATTATTAATTTGTCAAAAATCACAAATTTTACATGTCACAAATTATTTTACGGTCACAATTCAAAAAATTTATAAGTCACAATTTGTTAATCGGTCACAAATAAGAAATTTTATAAGTTACAAATTATTTTACGATCACAAATAAGAAATTTTATAGGTCATAAATTATTTTACGGTCACAAATCAAAAATTTTATAAGTCACAAATTATTTTACTGTCACAAATAAGAAATTTTATAGGTCACAATTTGTTCATCGATCACAAATAAAAAAATTTATACGTCACAACTTATTCATTGGTCACAAATCACATTATTATAAGTCACAATTTAATAGACAATCACAAATTTTCAATCAGAAGTTTTATATGTCACAAATTAATTGGTCATATATTATTTTTTTTTAATCACAAATCATAAATTTTATAATCACTGATTATCAAATTAATTGGTCACAATTTACCAAAATTTAAGTCACAACTACAAATTTAATCACAATCTTCAAGGTCACATATTATTCAACGGTCACAAATTAACAATTTATAATTTACAACGCCCAAATAATTGGTCCAAGCCCTATTCCCACCTCACCCCCACCCTACCACCACCACCACCACCACCACCACCACCACATTCATATCGCCGCCCCACTAGGCAACAACCAAAAGCCACGCACCTCACAACACCAAGACAACCTACAATACAGAAGCACCACTGCCTGCACCACTGTTGTCACGAGTTTTCTACAACGTGAATTTATGCCGCAAGTGTACGGTGTCGAGTTTTGTAATATAGTAAAAGAGTTAGAGTGTCGAACACACAGGGATTGTAATTTAATTTCATTAAGTACTATAATTATACAGCTTCTATTTTATCTGGACAATTGATGAATGGTTGAATGATTGTTTTAAACTAATCAAAAGTAATATGCGACGACAAAATTGTAGAATATAAAATTATCAAAATGAGAAAGCCTATGGAATGATTTCACCAACTCTCAATTATGATTTAATGATAAATTATTCCAATTAATTTTCTCATATTTAAAAGCAATAATCCAATTGTATTTATCTTCCATCTCTCGAGTGCCGACTAGAAATTAATCCTAAAATTCAATTTCAATATCTCTATTCCGAATTAAAGCCTAGAATTTATCAAAGTCTCGATTCTTTTATGGAGTAAGATTCATAGATTTTACACTTTCTCTTGAAACTCATAAAACCTACGTTGTGTCAATTTTATTATTACACCTAAATTTCCCTCTCTCGAGTGCAAGAATTGACTAACATCTATTAATTCAATTATTGATCAAGTAATTGAAAGTATTAAAATCATGACACAATTAAATATAAGCGGGAAACTCCAAAAGAAATAATTCATATATTTATCAAACCATAATCACAAGTGGCTACATCAAACTTTAACTAAATTATTTAGTTCGTGAAGAAATTCATAGAACGTAAACAATTTATAATGAAAAACATAAAGGAAAAGGTAAGAAAAATTATTTTTGGAGTGTTGCTCAAAGTCCTCTTCGATATTTCCACGCTTTCTTCAATTCCTACTTGTTGTTGTCCTTGGAGATTCAATCTTTTTGTATCTTTCTCTCCTCACTCCAACCTCCAAAATTAGGTCTTTATGGTGGTATTTATAGTATCCACAAGTTGCAAGACGGAATAGGGTTGGACCGGGCCGAAATTCTTTTAAAATTTCCAATTTTTCTCTTTCTCGGGATCCGGTGCCTAGGCGCCCAATTGCGCCACGTCTTCTGCTGATTTTCAGCAAGCTGGGCACCTAGGCGCCCAATTCGGCGAAATGATAGACCGCATGATTTTCAGTATTTTTATCATAACTTTCTCTTCCGATATTCGATTGAAATAATTCAAAATGCGTTAGAAAGAGAACTCAAATGGCTACAACTTTACTTCAAATATCATCCTCCAATTCGGTCATTTACAATGTCAAATACGAGTTTCAATATGAGAATAAAAATTTGGAGCAAAACTTTTGCGGTTGGAATTTGATGCGTGATCATTCTTTGATTATATTTGATCCATTTGATATATTTCTTCATCCAATTGACCATTAACACTCTCAAATCTTCATTCATGAGGTTTGGCACAACTTTTGAGTATTTGCACTTTAGTCCCCGAACTTTGGATATCTTGCAATTTAGCTATTTTCTCCAATTTTGCCAACTTTTGCTTATTTTCTTCAATTTCATCAACCTACATCACATCATTAAAACACACATAAAAACAATCTAAAACTCTCTCAAGGGTAACAAAATAACGAATTAAGTTATATAAATATCGTAAGTGTGGAGCATTCATCAATCGTCGCCACCACCGCTGCACCACCATCGACAAACAAGCACGACCAAATCACCACAGCAAACCACCCAACACCATAAAAAACCACCAACACCACTACCAACCTGAGATTGTTGAGCAATTGGTACCAGGATTCAACTTAAGTCTCTCATATGATGGAGGTCTCGGGTTCGAATCCTGGGGGACGCGTCAAAAACCCGTGAGGTGTAAGATGGGCATAGGTTCTCCCGAAACGGACAGTATGTAAGATAATGACTCCGGTGAGAGCCCGGAGTCGTTACAAGAGAACCACCACCCATAGATCCGAACTACACCACCACCACCACTATCACCATTTGCAAACTGCCAACAAAAACCACATAAAACTTCGATCGACCAGATCGACTCGAAACCACCCCCATCGCCACTGCCTGTTTCACCAATCACCACCACGACCACCTCAAATCCACCATGAGAAAATAGAAACGAATTTATGCAAATGATCGTCGCGAAGGTGGCTTAGCCTTAGGAACAGGTTTAGCCTTGGTAGTTGGCTTAGCAATGGTAGCGACGGCCTTGGGCTTGGCAGTAGGAGCCGGCTCCTTCGCATCAGATTTGGAAACAGATTGGATCCGGTTTTCTCCTTCGACGACGGAGGACTTGCAAGGGAAAGAAGTGAGAGAGGCAAGAGACAGATAGAGAGAGGAGGGGAAGAAGACGGCGAGGAGGAGGGGAGAGAGAGAGAGACAATAATTTTGACATGTGTTCTCAACCAATCAAATTTGACGATTTTTTGCCGTTTCTCAAATTCTTTTCTAATTTTACCCTTTATAGAATAATTATTTAAAACCATCATATTTTATTGAATACTAATATACTAACTTGAAAATTATTTATAAGCAAAAAAATTACATTATAATTAAAAATTACTCATAAGTAAGGTAAAAATTATTTTTTGTGTAACAATATTATTAATAAGACAAAAATCACTTATAAAATATAAAAACTTACTTATAATTAAAAAATTCACTTTTGTGTAAAAATTATTTAAAAGTACAAAATTAACTTATAATTATAAAATTTATTTATAACTAAAAATACAAACATAAAATTTTAAGCAGATGTTAACTTTATTTGACTTTTCAAATTGATGACAACAAAGTAGTCATGGTGTAGTGGTAAATATTTCAAAATGTTTTCATTATACATGTTTGATTCCCGAGCCATTGGTATTCTTAACATCTGTTTGGTAAGATTAAAAGTTGGTAAGATTTTTAAATTAAAGTGAATAATTAATTTTAATCACACATTTCATGAAATCGATATTTTCTCAAACACCAATTTCATCAACCAATTTCTAAAAAATCTAATTTTTAATTACACCAAACAGGTGCTTAATTTAATTTTATATTTTGGAAATTTTGCAAAATTAGCCATAACCTTTATCTCCAACCTTTACTTATAATACATATTTCATCATTTTTAAAATAATTCTTTGAATTTTAGATTCCTCACACGAGAATATTATTTTTAACACTTGATCCAATTTTTCAAATATAATTTCAATTTCCTTTTTTTAAAAAAAATATCTATTTGTTATGGACTGCTCTTGTCAAATCTAGTTAAATACACAACCATTTTACGAAGACGGCGACTTTGCACCTCACGACAATTTGTTCACACTATCTAGGAAAATATCATTATCGTGAAAACTTATCTACTCTTTTTTGTTGCGACCAAATTACATAATATGACGCGTCACTTGACAGTTGATATAGTTTTCATAATTATAAAACAGAAGAATCCCAATTAATTGAGCTCTCCAAACTAACTAACAATTCTAGAAAGTTGATATATATGCCTCCAATATTGCGAACTTGTTTGGTAGGAATTTTAATCCAATTAAAATTGAAAATATAACTGTTATTGAGTCTCACTCGTATAATAAAAGCAACAATAACGACTAGTTTTTCAATTTTAATCCGATTTTAATCTCTACTAAACAAGCTCGCATCGCATGTATTAAAGTAATTAAAATTTGTTGTTCTTTATATAAACTGCACATGTGAGTTGGTGTCCCCATGGAAACTATTAAACGAACTCCACAGAGAATTGCTTTAAATTTCTTAATTACATATACACCTTGCAACTTTCAGTAACAATTCCTCATTATTGATCTTTCCACGCGAGAAATTGTTGGGACAATGGCCCTAAATTATTAGTTGTATAAAGTACTTTTAAGAGCAAATTAAGTAACAATTTATTTATAGATTAAAAGCCAAAGGGTGCCCTCTGAGGAATGCCTTTTCTTCTTCTTGCACTAGAAGGAGGTGGAGGAGGCGTCGGTGGGCATATACCTTGTTGTAAGCCTTCATGAAATTCTTCTTCTTCTTCTTGACTTGACGACGACGTTGCCCTTCTTCTCGATATCCCTTCATCTCTTTCTCGTAATGCCGCATCATTCTTGCCACCATCTAAGGTAAAGTTCGCATCCCCGTTTCTCTTTATTCCTACAAGCTGATTTTTTCGAAATAAAAAATGATAAAGAATTGACTCATGACCTACTCAAGAAATTAAAGACAGTTTTATATAGAAACTTTTGTGGAAAAAAATAACGGGAATTCAGCATATTGATGATGATGTACACTACATAGAAAAAAGATGAACAAAGTTGTATATTAAACCCCCCGTTTGGTTCAATTAAAGAGTTAGAATAAAATATAAGTCAAAGTTAATAATTAATTTTATGGAATCCACAATTTTTTAACCATACATTCCATTAAATTTTATCAAAATCTACTAAAAATATGATTTTTATCTAAATCGAAAAGGGGTTAAAACTCTTGAAAACCCTATTTTCGCATAACTTCAAAATAGCTAGAGTTTCATGAATGTGGCTCATGATTTCTCATCTATGCTTCATAGGTGTGATCGTATGGTCAAGTATATGAAGAAGATTATTATTCGTTGGGTCACGCAACATATTACAAACACATTGGGTAGAACTCACCCTTAAGTCCTTAAATACGACCACCGATCTCAAACAATATTCTTATCGACCCACAACCCAAGCGTTCTTGGGCGATCGACATGCTACATGATATGAGCAATGTGAACAGAGAGGGAGAGGGGGAGAATTGCTAACCTTACATCCCAGTGAACAGAAACGAAAAGTATCCAAGAGGCTCCTACTACAGATTTCACAAATGTGAGAAATTCCTTTCCCAGTTTTGGGCTGAGGCCTTTCATTCAGAAACAAAACCCTTGCACTGTTTATCACATATGTTTGCACTCCACTAATGTCCAATACCTTTTCAATCTCCGAAACCCTCACCACATCATGATATGAAGATCTCCTTATCTACATTTAATATCAAAACTTTGAATGGTAAAATTTCTTGTAACGTATATATGATAATATTAATGCTTTTTAATACAAGATTAAAGAGTAATATGAAGATTGGAAGAAGAAAGAAAACCATACCTGAATGACTCGATGATCCTTGTGTTTTGTTGAACGGCAGTAGAAGCAAAATGCATCAACATTACAGTCTAAGCAATACATATTGCATTCACTCCTTGCAGCCGCACCGTGAGTCCGGCAGACGGTGAAGAAATCTGTGTTCAGCAGTGGTTCTAGCCATGGAGGGACCAGCATTTTGACCTTCACTTTCACCCAACAGTGCAAAAATATATAGAAAAGAAAAATTGAAACTTGTGTGAATATTTTGCTAGATGATTTTTGAATTCTTGAATGATAATGAAGAATCTGCAGAAGAAATTTGCAGAGAGAGAGAGAGAGAGAAGGGAGGGGTGGCTAACCTAAACAAGCAGCAACTTAGAATTCAACAAGAAAAATACACCCCAGACTTGCAGGTATGGACAAAGGCCTAATAAGCAAAAATTGACTAATAAGCGGTCGAGATCAAAGGTGGAGGCTCGAGATTACTATCAGCCGTCAGATCTGAAGGGGGTGGGGTTACGCTACTTTTGGATCTTCTTTGCGTCTCTACATAGGCATAACATGAGGGTCGGCCACTAGGCTACGATAATGAAAAAATTCTAGGTTGAATCAAAACGATGACGTTTGGAATGTCGTATGTGCTTTTGTCATGTGGAGTTATCTCAATGGCTAACAAAATGGGACCCGCGATGTGGTGTTTTTTGTTGTTGATGTGAAATGAGGAGGAAGTTTCTAAGGGAAAATATAGTTCTAAGATGATCCCTCGTCTATACGCAATATTGTAATTGGGTCTTCAACTTATGTTTTTGTGACACCTTTATTTTTCAATTATGTAGGGTTTGAATAAGTGTATATGGTTTTTCCCGATGTTGAAACGTATCAGGGTTAAAACTTTTTTATGAAGAAATGATTGATCATCACTACAAATTAACATAAAATTAAAATAAAAGGAATAACAAATAAATAAATTATAAGAGAAAAAAATATGAAAAATCGAACAAGTGTTGTCGATTTTGGGAAAGGCACAATCAAAAGATTCAAAACACGAGTTGGGAGGGGGATCGGAACAAAGGATATGTTGTCGAGGGTAAGAGAGGAGGTACACACGATAGAAGTCAAAGAGCAGTAATATAAAAGGCAAAATATAAATGTTGAAGGTAAAATGAAAGGAAATAATATATCGTGCTGGAGTTAAGATTCCGAATATTAGTTTATATTACAAGAATGAGTTTTTAGTGGTTTTTTATTCACGGAATCACAATGCTGCCGGCATTTTCAAGTATGGTGCAAACTCGGGTTCAACTAGTGAGGACCATTGGGGTTAACAATCTTTGATTCTTTATTCTTAAAGGGGACAATTGGGACCATATTTAGAAAAATAATACATTGCGACTTCAAAGACGATTTAGTTCATGTTTGGTTTAGTTAAAAATTAACAGCCTGTCTAGTTCCGATTTTTTCCCCCAAAAAATCGCTTTTTTGCCCCTTTTTTTCAACCTTTTGGGCCCCACTAAGAGAGAGTTCAGTCCAATGTTGCGGATGCACAGTGTTTTCAACGGCCAAAATTCTGATTAGTAGTACAAACAGACAGGGCCTAAATATGTAATATTTTTTTTTCTTTTTATAAAATTTGATAAAACTTGTGATTGAAAATTTGATAAAAATTGTTAGTCTCGTTCAATATGTGGTTGAAAATAAATTTGAGGAAAAATAAATTTTAAAAGTATGGAGGCTAAAAAGAACACAATGGGAAATCCAGTGGATCAATATCCTGGATAGGTGAACTTTGTTGCATTTGGGAGGGGTGGCCATCTAAAGTCCGTATGACTATTTTGCAGGATTTGAATTTCCCTTTTTCCTAAATATTTTTCAATATTGTATAGTTTACAATGACAAGCAAACCGTTAGTGGTCGCGTGAATTATTTTCTGAATAATGTTATCCATCATTAGTAGAGATGTATCATCGTTTAGATGTTAAGAGGTCTCGGATTCATTATCTTATTGAACTGTGATGCATTTGCACAATGAAGCAAGTGATTCATTGCTAGCTAATTAGAGACGTATCTCTACTAATGATGGATATTATTATTCTTTATTTTTTTTATGTACACGTTATTGGATGTTGAATAGGGTAATAATATCAGCAAAATATATAGTTTGCGCTCTGTATTTATTGAACATGTTGTTAATTATCGAACAAAGTGTACAATTATATAGATGTATTGCGCAAAATTTAAATTACAAGTTATTGAATATCTATGAAATGAGAAATTTAATCATACACTATGTTTATGTACTCATTATAGATATGGTGCAAATTATATATTCTTCGCAATGCAAGTTTCAACCCTCCATCTAAACGTCTATTAAAACGACATTATTAGTGTACGTGGCGATTCGATATTAATAGAGTGTACATTTTTCTTGTACAAATCTAGTGCAAAATGAAGAACCGTGTGACAGTAGTCTTCTTCGCTAGATTACCTTCTTCGTGTTCTAGGTCATTTTAGAACGAAAGATAATTTGACGAAAGCTTTACACCTGAGACTTTGAATGTACTGAAAATAGTTTGTTCATTGATTGATGAAAGTAGTAAATTATAATTACTGGTGCATGGGGCTAACAACAGTGAACTTGACTAGTTTGAGTACCAATTATCCCCTATAATGACTTGAGCAAGAAAAAAATTGAGTGATATGAGTAGACGTTTAAAAGACGGAGAATTATAAGTAGGATTCGCTTTGTTCTTTATAAAGAATTTTCCAATATGCTAAAAAGTGACATCTCATCTTTCGTTACATCGAGAATGTGCATCATGTTATGGATGATATAACTTTTCGGTTTGGCAAAGTGCTCTATAGCAGAGTCACCATCACACCTATCGAGAGAAGAGTTTGAACCAAGATTTCTAGATAATTGGGGTGGGATATTAGTATATCTAATAAAAAATTTAAATGTGAAAAATTGTACAAGGAAATTTCTAGATCTCGCGCATCTTCTTAAATTATGGGATACTTACAAAGTGCACCACAAGTTCAGCAAATTCCAGTCACGGGTGGTTCAAGGGGATAAGAATAGCTATTGTCCCTTACACTCTTATTGGATGTCTTTAAGATGACATTGTTTGTATACGAGACAATTCGATAAGTAGAGCGTACGTTTTCATGTATAAATCTTACATGAAATTGTTAGTTACGCATTTTTATCGGTTGAATACAAATCAAACGTAGAAGGTCAACAAATGCCTCTTTTCCGAAGTGATTATCGGGAAGCTCCTACTTGAGCTGTATTATCTAAAAACTATTTTCTCTTCAAACATATTTCCAATCACACATTCTCTCAATAAAATTTTTGTAAATGTAAATTTAAATTTTTTTCTACTATTTAATTAAACATTCTTAAAAAAAAAAAATTATTACAAAATTTGTTTTCCAAAAAATGGGGCTCAAACATAGCCAAATAAGGATTGCTTTTCGACATCTTGTTAGATATCGTTCAATGAAACTCAAAAAAAGAAAGTAGAATAAATAATTTATCCCTAAAGTTCATACAATTTAATTTTTTTTTCTTATGTTTAAGTAAAATTGTTACTTTTTTTTAAAAAAAGTAATTTTTACCTTAATGTCTAATTTAAATTTTTTATTTTATAATTTTTTGTTACTTGTAAGTAAAGTTTTTAAGCTTTGTCAAACAGCTCTAATTAGAAAAATTCAAGATGACATAAAACCTTAAAAATTGGTGGGTTTGCGTAAATTCTTCACGAAATGTATAATCTTCCTTGATATAAGGAAGAAGAAGTGGGAAAATAACGTTGGTGTAGGATGGTTAACGTGAAACAAATGCAACCCATGACTTAAAATGGTCAGATTCAAAACTTTATACCAAAACTAAAGCAAAGAAGCAAATGGGACCATTTAGGGTTACACAATTTTAGAGCTTACTATATTCAAGAATCCTTTCCTTCAGGTGATGATTTTACACGATAAATTTTATTAGGAAATATGATATGAAGAATTCAATATATAAGAAAGAACAAAGAGAATTACGTGGTTCGACGTCGTGTTTCAAACCTACATTCACGAGAGAAGAGAGAAGACTATAGTCACTTATATTCGAAATGTTATAATGACACATATATTTAGTCATGTTACAATAAGATTGCCTTATTATAGATGAGACAATCACGGAAAGAATATAACAAATTATGGAAACATTTAAATTATCATCAACCAATATTTTTCAAATCATGCCATAATATTTTCTTCAATATTAGCAAATATTCTTCAAATCACTAAATATCTCTCTTCTCCAACATGATTCTATGTTGAAATTACTATGAATTGACAGTTATACAAAAAAAATCATGATTCGAACAGATTATAGTTTGATTTGCTAGGGGATAAAATTTCATTTCGAATAAAGATGAAAATATAGACCAATTTATAAAAGTTTGAGTTATTTCTCTTAATAAAGTTGACTTTTTAAGCTGAAACACTAAGTCTTAACATGATATCAGTACTCATTAAACTCTAACGAACAATTCGATTATATTAAGACTAAAAAAATGAATACACGGATTTCAAATTTGGTTTGCTCTTTTTAATAAAGTTGATCTTTTAAAATTCCACGTTGTACTACTCCTTTTAATAAGTGATAAAATTTCACATCGAATAAAAATGAAAAATATAGACCAATTTATAAAGATTTGGATTTCTTCTTAATAAGATCAATCTTTTAAGATAAAATCATAAATCTTGACATGATTTCTATTGCAAAGACGCAACCAATTCTATGTAAAGTACAAGATCAAAGTGATTATCAGCAGAAGTTCGAAGTCGAGCCGATCACATATAATTTGACTTTTTATGACAAGTAATTGGTTCTCTCATCGAGTAAAATCCAACATATATCTATAGTTGGATTCTTGGAGAGTTTCAAGACTCGATATTGTCGAGTTGATTGGACTCTAATTAGATATTGACTCGGACATTCAACCAAATAGACGAAGAATCGATATATCGTGCAAAATTCACAAAATATTGGTTAATCCGGTGAAGCTTTTGTTGGTTCATTCGACTTTTTAGTAAATCAATACTTAATTTCATTTCGATTTTTATTCCGATCTAGCTTTCAGTTTTTTCAATGAATATCTCCTATACAATCCAATTCTCATAACATTGTGGTGTGTTTAACA